CCGATGCGGGACTCGATCCCGGGACTCCAGGATCATGACCTGAGCCGAAGGCAGTCGCTTAACCAACTGAGCCACCCAGGCGCCCTAAAATTTAATTTTAAATTTTAAAATGTGGGTGTCTTGTCCTTTTTTTTAAAACTAAATCTGGCAATTCTAATTGAGGAGAAATTGTGTGTCAATAGATATAACAACATTTGGGATTCCCAACATAGAAATGAGCAAGATCACCTTGTAACACTTAAGATCTCATAGGCAAAGAATACCTCTGCCAATTTTTCTTGGTATCAAACTAAAAATTAATAATGCAATATATACCAAAGTCCTTTAAAAATTACAAAAGCTGTGTGCAATTATTTATCTGTAAAGATGGTCTTTGCATCATTGTCAATAATTCTGAAAAAAAAAAAAAAAAGGGAAGCACCTAACTTACTCCAAAATAGGGTTTTGGTAAATAATAAATTCAGTCAATGGAACACAATGAAATAAAATGGAATCCAAGGTTATTTTTAAGAATGTTGCTCTAGATGATCCTTGACATGGAAGTATGTTGAGGGTAGAATATTGAATGAAAAATACAGGTTGCTATCATATTTTTGCAAAACAATTGTGTTTTGCCTATCAAGGCGTGCTTCTCCCCCTCATGTTTTAACATCTCTAAAATTCGGATCCCCTTAGGATTAATGGCATCATCATCACCGTTGGGCAGGTGGCAGAAATGAAGTAATTGTCATCTATGTGGATGTGAGCACTCAGTCATTGCTGGTCGTGGTGTCACCTCAGTGGAGGGATCTGCAGTGTTGGTACAGAATATTTTGAGTTTGTCATTTAAAACGTCTTCCAAGATTACACTATGATTCAGCATTGAAATGAAAAGTTAATTTTTATGCAGAAGCATGAAAACAAAGCAGAAAGGGCTCAATATGATTTTAGTGATAAAAAATTTCTTTTGGGGGCCACCTGGGTGGCTCAGTTGGTTAAGCATCTGCCTTCGGCTCAGGTCATGATCTCAGGGTCCTGGGATCGAGCCCCGCATCAGGCTCCCTGGGAGCCTGCTTCTCCCTCTCCCTCTGCCTCCTCTCCACTGCCCATGCTCTGTATCTCTCGAATAAATAAATAAAATCTTTTTAAAAAATTTCTTTTTGTCATGGAGAAACGATCACAGTTACATATTTTCTTGCAAAGCAGCAAACAACCAAGTGCTTTACTGAACCCAAGAAATGAAGACACTCCCAAGTAGAGGAAGGGGTGTTATATTTTGTTGCATTTTGTTACTGAGAAATGTGCAAACGGATTGCCTATCACAGGCCAAGTAAAGCAACTGAAGACAATTAATTTGTTTCTGGGTCGGTTAACCAGGGACAGGGAAGGCTGGGGCCGAGCAAGGGAGGAGAGCCCAGCCCCGGCTCTGGGGACTGCTATGACTGTCCTGACTTCTGATCCAGTCCAGGCTGAGATCCAGGCAGCTAAAGCAAAAGGCAGGAAGAGACTGAGAAGGCTCCACATGGTGCCTGTGACTCCCAGGCTGTCCCTCTCAAGGGCCAAAGGAGCTATGTGAGCGACAGGAGGAGGAATGGCTGTAGTCGAGAGGTATAAATAGACAGGTAAGGTGCCCCCACTGGATTAGCATTTCATCTGGTCACTTGGGAGACTCAGGCAGAGAGGAATCCTTGAGGCTCAGGCCAGTGTCCAGATTTGCCCTCTAGGCCAGCTCCAAACCTCAGACCCAAGGGTCCTTCTTCCTTAGCAAAGTGAGGAAGGCAATTTGCAGCAACTGGAGTCTGCGGTCCCAGCGGCAGAGAAAGCAGGAGCCAGTAAGGAATAGACCTGTGGTCTCCCATGATGATAAACCACTTCATGCCCCCTCCCCCAAAAGCCAAATGGGTGTCTCTCCTCTCAAGTCTTCTGTAATGCCTGCTTAGTAATGGTAATAATATTTATCAGCTGCTTACCATGTGTCAGCTACTGTACTAAGTATTTTGTGTACATCATCTCATTTAATCCTCACCATGGTCTGGGAAGGTAGGTATTATTATCTCAACTTTACAGATTAGAAAATTCAGGCTCAAGTTCACTCAGCAAGGAAAGGGCAGAAACAGGATTCAAACTTCCGGTTCTCTGGCTACAAATCCCACTACTTGTAGTACATTTCTCAGAACAAAGACCCCTGACTACTATCTGTCCATCCTTTCCAATTCCACTACTTTCACTTCACTCCTGCTTCTTGGGCTTGCCTCCTCTCTCCCCTTCCCACCTACATACCAAGCAGATTATGAAAGAACTGCCCTACATTCTTCCCTCCCATTGTGCCCTGTGCCCACAGCATACGCTCAGCCCTGTGTAATCCAGCAAAGCACTCTGCCTCCCAGGATCCCCTGTGTTCACAACGGGAGCACTTGAGTGGCCCTGTGTGTCACCAACAATCCCCTGTGCCTCCCACAATCCCCTGTGTTCACCGTCAAGAGTGGGCCCTGTGTGCCTCCCACAACCCCCTCTGCTCACCGTCAAGAACCAGCTCTGTGTGCCTCCCACAATCCCCTGTGCTTCCCACAGTCCCCTGTGCTCACCG